TGATTGTCGTCGAGTAGAACACAGTTCGTGATGTCACATGAATTAAAACTGACAGTTATCGGTCCAATACCTGTTTCATTTCGGTTACAACTCAAATTGTGTCTCTAGCAGCATTGTTCAATTTCCATTTTTGCCCTCACTATTAAAAAACAACAGTAACCAAATTGTACAACATTTTGTTACATTTATATGTTTGTGTATATCCAATTAAATGTGCTTTTTCTACCTCACAGATGATGATTATTTACAGAATGCATCCGCTATACTAGAGAAGTTAAAAGGCCATTTCAGACAAGGAGGAGATGAGAGTAGCAGCATTTCCAAGCTACTTCAAGATTACACACAGGTAACTGACAGAGAATGTATGCTGAATAATAAGAACTTGGACAAAGCATTGATACAGATCTGTCCCATTAGTCCGCATTTTCATACCTGGTTCCAGTTATAATCTAGTGGAATCTGACAAATTGTTCACTTGTTCATGGCTAAAATAGTTGGAGCATTTTTTTTATCTTATTCATGCAAAGAGGTGCTATTTCATGCAAGTTATGCGCAGATTGTTTGCTTAAACATTGAAAACCTAAAATAATGAAAACCTATGTATAAGCAGCAAAATTTCAGTTCACTTAAAAATACCATGACTAAGATAGTGTTCACTTGATCAAGGTTTGTAACTAGGAATTTAACTATACACTGTACTTAATTTGTTTTTCATCTTCCAGGTGGTTCTTGATATTACATTTTATGAAGAGAACAAGCTTGTGGATCAGGAGTTTCCAGAAGACTGTTCACCGTTTAAAATTCACCAGCTGTTGCAAGACCTAACTGAGCCAGAAGTTTTGGCAGGGAGGCTAGCACCAACACAAGAGGTATGGATATGTGTAATTGTTTTTGTGAAATTAAGACGGAGAAGACCGAGCACTGTGGGAATGTAGTACATGGTTGGTGGATGTGCGTGTAAAATGTAGGGATGTTTAACAATTGTAAACACTTGGGGTTTTTTTCTGTGGTCTGTTGCAGGTGCAGTCTGTGTTGGGTCTAGAGCTTCTAGAATGCCTGTACTGGAGACGTGGCGCTCTGCTGTACATGTACTGCCACACACTTCATCAACGTAAACAATGGCTCAAGAAAAATAAGGAAACGTTCCTTAAGGTAACACGCTCTTTATTATGTCATCCTGTTATTTCGGGGGGGTTGATCAGCATTTACCCAGTGAGAATTAATGTTTATCTGATTGTAGCACTTTTCAAATCCAGTGTATTCAGGAAGGTGTGCGCTACCTGATGCGAATGTTGCAGGTGAGAAGCTCAGTGAAGCTCAATGATGGAGTGGTGCTTTATGACACTTCAACAGCCAGTTTCCTATCTGAAGGTGCATATCTCTCTTTTGTGGGTAACAGCAGTATATTTTGTCTTCTCTTTTGATTATTCTGTCATATCATTTACAGGCATCTTTTCGGACACACACCTGCTGACAATGATGTACATTGGGGAAATGTGTTTCTGGGCAGTCAAATATGAGGACTGTAGTGCCGATATGGACCGAAAAGAAGACCATTTACAATTTCGGGACATTGGCACTCAGATCCTTAACAAATACGTTCTCGCTTGTGAGGGCCCTCTGCAGGGCCAGGGATGGAACACAGAGAATGCCAAGGAAATCCTTAGTATTCTACAGTGAAGCTCCAAAGGTTACTCCGAGGCACAGATCTAAGCTCAGTATCCAACCCCATATAAAAATTGAACCCATCACTTCGTATTCGGGCGTATTGTTGTGGAAGGTTGTACAGAGAATGCAAATTGAGTAATTAATGACTCAATCAGTGTCTACTGGAAACATCCAATGCCAAATGACCTGTGGCCAAAGCAGGTGAAAAATTAAGTTGTAACAGAGGTGGTGTAAAAGCAGCAAGTGCTTCAGAGGAAACTTTTGACTCGCTTTCTATGCCCTGTCCTGCTGGAAAAGCAGTTATCATCCTGATTACAGACTTTTGAGGGGACCACCTGTTTTGCTCTAAGAATGTGTCATGATAATTATATTAACAATATTAAACTGACCTTTTTTATTTCTTTGTTATGAAATTGTTACAAGGAAAAAAGACTGCACAGTAACAGTTTATGTATTGTTGTATTACCCTTTTGTTATGCTTTTAATATAACTCCAAATGCACTGAATTTTAAAGGGGAATGAAAAGTGTTCAATGTCTTCATGACCAATCACAGTGTGCTGAGATTTGTTCATATTCCATCTTTTGCAACTTTCATACAAAGTGATGCTATAACAATAATTAGAAACTCTTCATTGTTTGAACGAAAACCCGATTCTGTTTGTAATGTCCATGCTGACAATAAACACGTAATATTTGAAAAAGTCTTTGTTTCTCTGCATTTAATCCAAATCGACCTGTTCAAAAATACTTTGTTTTGCCGCTTTACCCGTAATGCACGTCTTCCACCAACAACAAGGAAGTGTTGCAGAGGCTAGAAAATGTTGAATTTGTTGTCACAGTCACTGGTGAGAGTGCGTTTTGATCAGCACATCGCTTAGTATTTTGGTAGTTGGAGTCAAAGGTGGGAGAATGGAGCAGCTTGCCAACTCCGTGGTGATTTGCAGCCTCAGGAGGTTCAGAGACTGGTATTTTCCCGACAAAAATAAAATCGTTAAAAATGAGACAAAAACCCCCTCCTTGAATCGCAACCTTAGCGTGGTGGAGGGGTTTGAGTAGCCGAATTAACCAAAGAGCTATGTTGTCGGGGGCTTAACGCCCCTGGTAGGGTCTCCCAAGGCAAACCGGATCAGACAAATAGCGGTTCAAACCCCCCCCCTCGTCCTGGTCGTGGAACACTGGACCAGCTCTATACCCTCCACAGGGTGCTTGAGGGTTCATGGGAGTTGTTGGGAGTAGGTAGGTATTTAAAATAAAATAATTTTAAAAAACAATATAAATGCATTACTGCATATAATGAGGACATGACTAATAAACTTTTTACCATTGAAGAAGACGACTATGGTTGTCCCGTGTACATTATTAAAAGTAGACATTATGTGATAAAAAATTGTATTTCCCCAATGTGCAAATAATGAAGGACTTCTTATCTTAAAACGATGTACAAGTAATGAGGTTTTTTCTTGTCCCATTGCCTTGTCCATCATTTGTATGTCCACTTATTATGATCTAAAATATATATAAATATAGTAGAGCTTCATCTTTTTAAAGCAATAGCATTAAAAAGAGGAATTCTAAACTATTTTAATATACCCTTTAAGAGTGTAACAACATAAGTAAGCAAACAGATGTGTACAATTCCAGCATGCAGTCTAAAAGCATCTGGGAATCTGTCTCTGAACTATGTTAACCATTAGCATTTAGTAAAAGTTAAAAATATATCCTGTGCTCGGCAGTAATAAAATCCACTCTACATTTTCACATTGCATGGATAGAATAAAATTTCCTATGCCATACTTGGCAAAACAGCAAATATATGACTTAAATAAATGGATTCCTGATACATGAAACAAGCACTTGTCTACTGAATGTTAAAAAAACTGTTTTATATTCCGCGTGTTGGCCCTAATGGCATGTGAGTGCCACAGACATGACAAGATAATGTTTGCCACTGCTCTTTTGTTCTAGTCCCCTAGGTAACCACAAATTATTGTCAAAAGTATGTTTTTTTTCCCACAGCTTTTCCATCAAAAGGGTTCCTCAGTCGCCAGCAATCATTTTCATACAGATTTAAATAGGACATAATTTCTGCAATTTAGGTGCATTAACTGAGCTGAACAGTGGTGACGCAGAATCTTTTTTTCACAGTGAATTTTAAAGGGGAAAATGATAAAGGGACAGTTGTTTGCCCATCACTGTTGCAGATGCATGCGTTTTAAAAGGTAAACCAACAGATTATAATGTGCATGCTGTGTGTGTGCCGTGTTCCATAAGTCTGTCTTTAAAGATGCCCAACAATAAGGGCGGACCACGGAGGGAAGAGAGCATGTTCTTAGTGCAGCCGTGTGGAGAACAGCAGTACACGCTGTGCTCCGGTTATGCTGCTTACTATAAACCTTTGACTGAATGTGAACTTTCACCGATAATGAGGACAGAAATGTAAGTTTGTGCTTTCTGCATTGTGATCCACTATTACCAGATTTTACATGTTTATTTGGACTACAGACTGTGAACAATCACTGCTCGTCCTGACATTAATGTGGCAAAGGTTTGTAGGGAGAGACCCTACAATATGTACCCGATCAAAGTGGATCCTGAATATAAGAGGTCCTCTGTTTACGTCAGGCTCGACCTACAGCGTTTCGTGGTTCCACTGTCCCACAAATTGCATTGGTAAGATGGACAGTCTTGTTCCATCATACTGATGCACAGCGTTAAAACATGGTAACTACATTGTCATGCAGCGCTATACGCAGAAGATGTTTTCGTTTACATTCACAGGTGTTCTGAAGTTTTTTCCTACCTATAGTTTTTTCCTACCAGAGTTAACTGCGCATGCGTACATCGGCCAATAGCGGACATTTATAGGGTAGTCTGAAGTTTTTTCCTACCTGAAGTTTCTTCCTACCCGTAGCGGAAATTTATAGCCATATCTGACATTTGTGTTCAGGGTGGTAGCACATTGTTATTCACATCAAATCTCAATAAATATGTGCTTCTCACTGTATTCAGAGTGGTAGCACATTATTTGAGGCTACACAGAAAATCCGTGTTAAATTAAATTAAATTTGAACTATATTGATCCCATATTTGGACAATTCTTGTGTTAACAGCAGATACTCTGTTAGCAGGGTACCCGCAGCAGGCACCAAGCACGTGGTTCCTCTGGGAATCAAACCCAGGACTCTTTGCTTCAGAGGTAAGCGTGCTAACCGCTACACAACGGAGTGTATTAATGTTGTTTACATTTACATCTGAAACCAGAGGGAATGTAAAAATGTTACCCAATGCAGCACATACTGTAAAAGAGAAAATAATCACACTCAATCTAGGATTTTTCAGCAAACTGTTTTTTATTATTTTTATTTTTACAAATAGTAACAGAAAGGATCATAACATATAGCACAGAATATTTGGGTTGATTTTACATGAGGTTTTCTTTAGCTATTTTTCATTAAGATACAAGCTATGTTCATCCTTTGTTTACTGACAGCTTCTGGAGTTGTCTGCACATCAGATATGTTTCCACTCACAAGTGATTCTTCGGTGTGCTGTAAATGAATTATGAATGTAATTATGTGCTTGATTTGATACATTATCTACATAATAACACATTCTTCTAGATACATAATATTTACAATTAAATACTATTAGCTTAATCTTCAAAGTACATAAACAGAAACTTGTAAAATATTACCTTCAACACTAGAACCCCACAACTGCTGAAATCCATCTGTTTGTTGTGGTCCATGGTGTGCACTGTCCACACATATTTGGATTCCTCCCTTGACCTGTTCCTCAGGAAGTTTCTATTACAGCATTAAAAGTATTGGGTTTTTTTTTATTCTCTCTTGAAAAAATGTGAAACTTGTAAAATATTACCTTCAACACTAGAACCCCACAACTGCTGAAATCCATCTGTTTGTTGTGGTCCATGGTGTGCACTGTCCACACATATTTGGATTCCTCCCTTGACCTGTTCCTCAGGAAGTTTCTATTACAGCATTAAAAGTATTGGGTTTTTTTTTATTCTCTCTTGAAAAAATGTATCTATCCAAATTATTGTACATTTTACTGCCAGTTCCTCAGAATTTTCCTGTTGTAGGCATCCTCATTTCCAATTGGGTCAAATACAGTGAGCAACTTCTCTGCCATGTTCACAACCTTAAGTAAAGTAATTTCATATTTCATATCAATAAACAGGCTGTATAAGGACTTCCTTTACTATGCTTAATGGTTACTCTACAGAGTTTGGCACAGCCTGCTTAATTTGTTCCAGCCGAGACTTAATTTTTAAATATGTCCACATAACAAAAGAGAAAATCTGTCAAAGTACTGAGTCATCAGAAATCAAATATTTTGGAAACAGACCACAAGAATCCAATGTGCAGTAACATTCACATGACACAGCCAAACACTCTCTGCTGGGAACTTCATCTGTAACAGATAATATAGAAATATGTACGTTATTAATAAAGATGAGTTAAAGATAGAGAACGGCACTGAGATAAAATATGGCTTCCTGATAAAATGATCAATATATTTGTTAGTGCAGAAGTACATCCATAGACCATGTCAAGTAATTTCCATTCAAAAGTAACACATACTTTGTGGGTGATAGGGTTTGTCTCAGCCCACCTCTTCTGTTGAGTGGTATTTTTTCCAGGTTGACAAAGGTTGTTGTCCTCGAAGGAGTGTGTTTTGTCCTTGAGGTGTATGTGAACAGCTGAGTCCTGTCTTGAGGAGTTGGCGTTCCTGTGTTGCTTAACAGAACTCTTCAACCTTGACCTGGATGACTGAGAATTTGCATAGACAGAAGTTTAAAATGTTTATGTGCATTGCTATATAACCTTCAGCCCTAATTAATCCAATGCAAAATGTTTTATTATTATCACCTGACTTTTTTCTATTAAATTAAGTATTTCTCTCGGAGAAAAAGGCAACTCTGATATAATTTCACACAAAATTCATAAAATGATATTCGTGTCAAAAAATTCATGTCTAATTTGCCTTTTTCTCTGTTTTTTGTGTAATTCCAATGCACACAAAGGAAATAAACTGAATATATACCTACCAAAACATGTGTAACGATCAATATCTCAATGGAAGAAATGCTTATTTTCATGGAAAAATGTCAGGGGTCCATACACTTACATCCAAGTCTGTAGGCCAATATCAGAGACTTGTAAACGAGGTTATGCAATACTGTAAACCCTGCGCTAATTTATTAAGGAACTGTTTTAACAGCTGGAAAATTCGGAGGCTACATGAGCAAGTTTTATGACTACATGGAAATGACGATTCTTCGCAGTATAAGCTATTCAAACTGCATTCAGACACAATCTCATGCACGTGGCAAGTTGTAATAATTTGACTGTCAAACCGCTTGCTTACTGGTCATATAAAGTATTAAATATACAAGAAACTAACCTTGTAACTAACCAAGGACACCTTACAGTGAATACAAAGATAAAAACACAACATTAAAAACAATAAAACATTTGCAAATGTTTTGCAAAACATAAAACAAGAACAAGTTAAATTACAACAGCAGAATATCAGATGGAGAAGGCAATTTTAAACAGATGAAGTGCAACTTGAATTGTAGGAGTGAATTGATGTTCCTCAAGACGGGGGGTAGAGAGTTCCAGAGCTGGGGAGCAGAGCGACTGAAAGCTCTGTACCCTATGGTGGTGAGACGGGCGGAGGGGACAGTCAGGTGAATGGAGGAGGATGATCTGAGGTAGAACAGCGACATGAAGAAAATCTGAGATGTATGGTGGAGCAGAGTTGTGGATGGCTTTGAATGTGAGCAGAAGGATTTTGTAGTTGATACGAGACTTGATCGGGAGCCAGTGAAGCTGTTGCAGGACAGGAGTGATGTGGTGGATGGAAGGGGTTCTAGTAATGATGCGGGCGGCTGAGTTCTGGACCAGTTGGAGCTAATGAAGAGACTTGTGGGTGAGACCAAAGAAGAGGGAGTTGCAATAGTCAAGGCGGGAGGTGACAAGGCTGTGAACCAGGATGGAAGTGGTATGGGAAGTGAGGGAGGGGCGGAGGCGGTTGATATTGTGTAAGTGGAAATAGGTGGATCGGGTGACATTGTTGATATGAGATTGAAAAGAGAGTGTGCTGTTGAGGATGACACCCAGACTCTTAACCTGTGGGGAGGGGGAAATGGAGCAATTGTCGATATCAATAGAGAAACTGTTGGTTTTGGATAACAAACCTCCGTTTTGTTACTGTTTAGTTTAATTTGAGGTGAACCAGGATTTTATTTCAGTCAAGCAGTCTAAAAGAGAAGGGGGCGGGAGGTTGGAGTCAGGTTTACTGGCTAGGTAGAGCTGGGTGTCATCGGCATAGCAGTGAAAGTTTATGGAGTGTTTACGGAAGATATTACCAAGGAGGAGAAGATAGATGATGAACAGAAGGGGACCCAGGACAGAGCCCTTGGGCACACCTGAATTGACAGAAGAGGGCTGGGATGTGATGGTTTTTAGCTGGATGAACTGAGTGCGACACGACAGGTATGATTTAAACCAGTTCAGAGGGGTCTGAGTGATACCAAGGGCAGAGAGTCTATTGAGGAGGGTGGAATGACAAATGGTGTCAAAAGCTGCAGTTAGGTCAAGGAGTAACTACAATATAACTCTGAGGCAATAGGCTACATCTGACATGTTAGTCTTCAGTGTCAGTGTCAGAGCAGTTGTCATCCTCCTTCTTCTCGATTTTCTTTGTGTTTGCATAGTTGCAACACCTACCTGTCTCACAGTCACTCTCCTTGCAGCTACAGTGTATGACATGCAAAACACTGTCAGGGACTGGATTTCTTGTCATCCATGTGACATGTAGGTTTCCATCTTCTAGGTGCCAACCGTATCCAGCAGGTGATGGAGCACCTACTGTATATTTTGTTTGACACAGGACCTCATGACTGCAGCCTGATAATTTGCCAGTTTGCAGTGCTGATGGAGGGCATCACTTGTGAGGGGAATAGACAATTCTGGCGAGAAAGTCTTGTACCTAGCCTCACTGACATTTTCAGCAGCTAGCTGATCATACAGATGACATACATATTTGCAAAGTAGTGCAAATGTTGAATGGTCCAAGTTAAAGTTAGCACCCATATTTTTAAAAGCCTTAAGATACTCTTAGGCTTTCTCACATGCTACAGAAAATGTCTTTCTTTTGCATTTACCATAAAAGGCACATGTGGAGTCACACCCAGATAATTTATGTATGACAATCAAGGCTGAACACACACTGGTTCCGAGAGCTGATGACACCTTGGTAATGTCAATGATGCGTGTCCTGTTGCCCGTCTCTGTGAAAAAATATAATCTGCATGTTATGATAATAATAACAATAATAATAATAATATACATTTTATTTCATAGGTAAATTTGTCTGCAGACTTACAGCAATGACTGTTAATGATGACAGTTGTGTGCTCCTGTGCAGCATGTTGTGCATGCAAAAACACCCTTGTGTCACACTCTTCATGATCACACTGCAGGTCTTCAACAGCATGGACAGATTGTACTGTAAGGTCTGCATTACATATTTGTCCCTTTTCTTGCATATTATGCACAGGGCAGGAAAGATGGGGCTAGAGCTCGCGATGGGCAGGCCTGACCTGGGTCTAAGTTTCTCTTTCGGACATGGAGTCGTCCTGTTCGATGTTGATGGGATGGCCTCACTTCTTGAGCGGTCTTCCGTATCCTCTCACCTCTTTCTCTCACACTCGAGACGTCTTTTCACTTTTGCAATTGCACTCTTGTCAATAAACCTCCAGTAGCATGTGGGATGGAAAGCAGCGTTCTTGGGAATCCTTTCAAACTCCAAATCCAGGTAGTGTTTGTAGTTTTCAGCTACGTATCGGCACTCACCCCTCAACTCGAGCCACCGTTGTAGACTCTTCTTGTACGTATTCCACCGTGCGAGTGTAAAATCCTGAATCTTTTCGTGCTTCACAGAGGCTATGTGCATATAGCACTGGTTATGTCCTGGAGATTTCGTTATTTTACTCATTTTTGGTGAGTTTTCCTCTTCTTCGGTAATGCTAGATGAAACACTGCAGTCAGCCATCTTGCTTTTCTGTTTACCAAAAGCTGCTACCCCATTGGTGTAGTCCGGTCACGTGTCGACGGTGCCTCGCGCACCAAAAAAATCTTATTGCGTCCTGAAGACGCTAGTTCTGTATAAAATGCCACGTTATAAAAAATGGGCAGAATTTTTTGCGACGAACTTTTTGCTGTAAGCTTAACATAACTCCTTTCTTTTTATGAACTAAAGATTGTGTAGTTCGCAGACGTCGGAGCGGAATTCAATTTCTGAAAGACTTTTCGTTGTTCACCTTATGGCCTATCTTACACTTGTCTAGTTTCACACTGTACACATGGTGTACCATCTCAGAAACAGCTTTATATTTCTGTGGGTTTTTTTAATGTTCAAAGCCTAGAATTCAGCGGCATTAAACTAACCATGAGAAGAATTATGGGATGTATTCAAAAAAGCTGCAAAAACTATTCTTGAAGGATCACTTGATATGAGCCTACTCTAAAACTAAGGCTATTTCTTTATTTTTTTAAGGGGACACAGGAGGCACGTTCAGTCAGCTTTAGTGAATGTTTATTGAAAACCCACAATAACAACAGTGCGGACAGTTGGAGAAATCTGTGTAATAAAGGATCTAACCAAGCAAGCAGGCTCACTCTACACATGTGACAAGATGACAACTGTTGGAGGTTTGCAGAGAGGAGGGGGACGACTCTAAACACCAAACTTCAAGGCTCTCTGTAAAATTGTGCACACTAAAAAAAAAAAAAAAAAACTTAACAAACGCAAAGTGTATATATTAAGAATCGCATAATCTTTAGGGTTAGGAACGCTTTAGAACAAACTACGACAGGGAAACAATAAATCATTTGGTGTTTTGATTATAAAAAAAAAATTATGCCTTCCACAATATGCCTTCCAGTTTGAACACCACATTCTTAAAATTTTATGAAAATAACTTGGTTTGCCTAATTGCTAGAGTGAGTTTGTTGGTGCAGATTTCCGTAAAACAATCAGAGGCAGGGCAGTTATGAGGCATCATACAATGTTGAAAGATGTAGTGTTAACATTCCTAAAAATTAAACACTACATGAATTAGGTCATGTAAATAAGTGCTACTTTACTGGACACAGCAGCCCTCCCTCCATCCCTTTTCACATGTGCATTGCAAGCTTAATCCATATACACATCAGTCATACACGAGCACAAAT